ATAACCGTAAGGTACAGAATCGTAATTATCAATACGTTTTCGTTTGGTAAAATTAGTACGAAAGACCTTTGTTACTTCTTTGGTAACAACAGTATGATCAGTATTTCTTAAGATATTTTTAGTTGAAATATATTCGTTAGGGGCTTCATTAAGTACCATGTCTCTTAGTTTTTCAAAGTTTACTAGTTCGCTCGTATTATAATTTAAGGTGATTCCTTTTACTTTTATTAGGTCCAGCGTTTTATTTTTTGCTGTAGAATAGACACGGTACGCGTATAATTTTGGGCCACCAGAGACAAAGTCTGTAATATAGCTACCCTCTCCATATTCAGCCAATTCGTCGGTCATTTCACCCAGAAAACTACCTAAAGGTACTTCATATTCTCCAGGTCGAGAAACATATATGACGGAATCTGTATCGTGGTAAAGAACTTTTTTATCTAACTTTTCCAAGAAACTATACAACTTCAACCTCGCTAAAGCCGTTGTATATGCTGCCAAAACAACATTGACTGTGGGGAGAACATCATATGCCTCATTTTTAAACACCCAATTAACTAATAAAGTTTTTTCATTTACTGGAAAGACACTATTTACTTCAATAAACGGTTTCGATAAAATATCGAAAAATTCAGCAGTATCTGAGACTATTGAGGTTTTATCTTGATTGTCTTTTTGTCCTAATTTTCCCCAGAAACTTGTGATGACACTTTTTCCTATCTGTCTACGACCTGGGTTATATTCAATTTCATCAGCACATAAAGAAACTCCTTCCTTGTCAAAATACTCTGTGATATATTTTTCTTTCTCCACAATAGACTTACAATCCACAGGCCACCCCGAGGCCTGTTGTTTAATTTTTAAAAAATTGGAAATATATTCTGAAAATAGACCACCTGTTTTAGTATTAGGATCGTACTGGACAGTTTCATACTTCCAAATTTCGTATATTTCAATCATTTTATAGCCTTTTTCTAAAGCTTTTAAAACTTCATCTATCACCCAAGTACCTGAGATAACCCTTTCTTCGTGATTATGAACACATTCATTTGACATATTTTCACAACATGTCCGACAAAGTGAAAACATAAGTTTATTGTTTGATTTAATAGGTAATACTGCGTGATAAAGGTTCTGCGGTGGTAAAATTTTACATTTAATTAATCCGTCAGTTTTGTATAAATCTAGTGTTTTGCACTTGTCTCCAACAAATACCTGTGGATGTCCAATAGGATATTTTCCATACTTGTTCACCCAAGGATAAAGAGAACATACATCTACGTATTTTATTTTCTCTTCTTTTGCACATTTGTGATACAATTTCGTTGCGTCAGTTCTACCACCATAGAATGCGTCACGAGGTTCTAAAGGTAAAAAAGAAATAAGAGGGTGATTTTCAGTAAATGTAAGAATTTCTTCAGTTATTGTAAAATCACATTCCCATTTTTCTATTACTTCGTAGCCTAAAGAGAGTAATCTTTGAGTTTTCATTAAAGTTGACTCATACCGCGCCTCTATGGTAGAGGTTGGGTCTTCATGCAACGGTTCATCCCGTTTGTATTTTATACACTTAATACAGCCATGAAAATAACATCCATGAAATTCAAAAATCTGATTAGTTTCTTTACAAAAACCATCTACTTTCACTCCAGCTAGCACAGCTTCTGTTCCATTTGCTGCATGAATAATGTTAATACCTCTTTGATGACCTTCCCAAATTAACCATTGTACGGCAATTTTAGACTGTTTGTCTCGGTATCTATAGCCATTTTTAGGCACAAGTCCGATCATATTGGGTTTTAGAAAATTCCTACGGAATATTTTATTACACGCCCCTGGAAGTGTAATAGCTTCAGTAAAAGGGTCTACTCGTCCCTCTTTAATAATCATTTCTCTGAATTTTAAACATGCACGGCTTAAAATATCTACGTCAGATATACAGTATGCTATGATTTCCTTTTGGAAATCAAAGACGTAATTTTTATTTTCTTTATGCCAATCCACAAGCTGTTGTCTACTATCAGTATTTTCATCGAGGGTGGGAGTGTACTTTAAATTATCAGGATCATAATATTCCAGAGCTGGTAAAGGACCTATATAATTCCAGTTTTCTTTTTTATTAAATAAATGGGGAAAATAACCCTTTTTTACATCTTTGAGCCCAAAAGCTTTAGGTAATTTTGACAAAGGCATTGGAAAATAGTTAAGAGAGTCAATAAACTTAACATTTCCCACACTCATTAAAAGTAATTTTGTTCCTCGGGTAATAAGTTCTGGTTTAAGGTCAGTAGAAGTTAGAATATAACTAAGCATAAACTGGTTATCGTAGAGTCCACCAGCGTGCCCAATCACGAATATTTTTTTAAACTGTTGTCTCTGGTTCATTATATACTCCATAAATCGTGACACTGGGTCAATTTTTAAAACTTGCTGTCTAATACCACAAATACATATTCTTATATCAGTATCTATACAGTACTCACAATGTTGTTGGTACACACACAAATTAGGTATATGTAGAAATGAGCCGTCCGGCATAAGTGTTTCTTGAGTACTTTCCAAGTCGTAAAAAACTAATAGTACTCCAGACAATGTAGGTTTACCATTATCAATAGGCATAAAGCAATTGTGAGGCGAAGGTTTATGAGATCTGCATATTTTACAAAAAACTTCCCCACAAACGTGATGCCTACTCGTGAGAATTGTTTTGAGGCAAAGCTTACAGTTTCGAATTTGTTCACATTTTTTATTAGCAATATGATTGTCAAAACATTGCTGGCCTCTAAAGTTTCTGTTACATATATTACATAATAAGTTTTTTTGAAAATGACAAGGTGGCGACTCACGACATGCCGGACACTGCCTCTCACATTTGTGATCGTTCTTATTATTGGAGGGTGTGTGGCATTTATCACAGAAATAACTACAACAAAAGGCAGCCGTTAATGACGTTATCACGTTGTAGTGCTGTTCGTAATATAATAGATTAAGTTTCCTAGGGCCCCCTACCCCTTCATAAATTATATCCCGACCCTTGTTTCCGTATTTATAAACAACTATGGTATAGTCTTGTAGATATTCTTGAAATTTTTCTAATTCTGGTATACCTGCACCATCTTTAGTTATAGAGACATTAGCGATTTCCATTAAATCTTTTGCTCTTTGCCCCTGCAATTTGCCAATGTCTTTTCGAACCTTAATGTAACTTGGGTCCTTATCAATGTACGCTTTTGCAACTACTACAGCTCGAGGTAGACAAAGATTATCTTTATTTTTAATTACCACAATTCCTCGCCTTTCAGCACATTCCTGGTTGAAGGTATTGTATTTGTCACTTTTACCAGTACCTTTAGGCATTTTTACAAATGTTGCACCAAGACAGAACGTTTCAGTATCTAAACCAGACGAATTTGACTGGTATACGGAAGAAATCATGTCCCACACATCGTTAAATTTTACCTCAGAAACAGGTTTAAGACGTAGCCACCCTTCACCACGACTAAATTCTTTTGAACAAAATGTAAAACCGATTTTATCGTTAGAATCTGCACCCTCGGTTATTTTATTTATAATATCTTTTATACCTTCTTTTACCCACTTAATTGGGTCGGCATCTTTAGGAGCTGTACGTAATTTAAACTCAATAGTTCTACCCGTTAGTTTAAATTTATGTATTTTTCTAATACGATCTTTTACAACTAAGAATTTCTCCATTTTAGAATGAAAAACAAAAACTAAAAAAGTCAAAATTTTAAAATAGACTAAAAAAAATCGGAAAAATATTGTCTCGAAGATTAAATTATATATAAATTTTTCAAAAATAAAAAATTTAAGTTTTAAATTTTAAAAACTTGTAATAAATTTAAGACAAATATCAAAAACTAAATATTAATTATATTTTAAATAAATCCAAATTACTCACATGAACACAATAACACTAATATAAAAGCACTTTTTACTGTTCAGAACAGACTAAGCCAACAGGTGTGTAAATAAATCTTTTATACTTTCGGAAAGAAGATTGTATTAAAATTATTTATATTCAACCTTGCAAAAAAAAAGATTAGTTATTTTTAGTGCCAAGGTGCTCAAGGTCAAGGTCAAGGTCAAGGACAAGGACAAGGTCGAGGTCAAGGTCAAGCGCCAGGTCAAGGTCAAAGTGAAGGTCAAGGTCAAAGTCAAGGTCAAGGTCAAGGCCAAGGTGATATTCTTAAAATATTTATAGATCGTCGTTTTTCTGCTTTATAGAATATATCTGTTATTTACGCTTGGAGAAGAAAATTCTTAAAATAAAAGTTATTTGTAATATTATTCTCTGTAATTTTTGTCCTATACATAATTTTCCTAAAATGACCAGTATTCCAGAAATTTTATAAAAAGTGCAAAATTTAATTAATTAATGGAATATTCTGTTATTTACACTTGGAAAAGAAAATTCTTTAAATAAAAGTTATTTGTAATATTATTCTCTATAATTTTTGTCGAATACATAATTTTCCTAAAATGAGCAATATTCGAGAAATTTTACAAAAAGTGCAAAATTCAGTCAATTAGTGGAATATATCTTTTATTTACAATTGTAGAAGTAAATTCTTTATATAAAAGTTATTTGTAATGCTATTCTCTATAATTTTTGCCCTATACATTATTTTTGATAAAATGGCCAGTATTCGAGAATTTTTACAAAAGTGTAAAATTCAATTAATTATTGGAATATACCTGTTATTTACACTTGTAGAAGAAAATTCTTTAAATAAAAAGTTATTTGTAATATTATTCTCTATAATTTTTTGACCCAGTTCAAAATCGTGAAAAACACCAAATATAAAATCGCGTAAAATGTGTGTATATTGTGTGTGTTTAACCGTAAAGCTACAGAATAATGAATTCGAAACTGTAAGCTTTGCCTCAAAACAATTCTCACGAGTAGGCATCACGTTTGTGGGGAAGTTTTTTGTAAAATATGCAGATCTCATAAACCTTCGCCTCACAATTGCTTTATGCCTATTGATAATGGTAAACCTACATTGTCTGGAGTACTATTAGTTTTTTACGACTTGGAAAGTACTCAAGAAACACTTATGCCGGACGGCTCATTTCTACATATACCTAATTTGTGTGTGTACCAACAACATTGTGAGTACTGTATAGATACTGATATAAGAATATGTATTTGTGGTATTAGACAGCAAGTTTTAAAAATTGACCCAGTGTCACGATTTATGGAGTATATAATGAACCAGAGACAACAGTTTAAAAAAATATTCGTGATTGGGCACGCTGGTGGACTCTACGATAACCAGTTTATGCTTAGTTATATTCTAACTTCTACTGACCTTAAACCAGAACTTATTACCCGAGGAACAAAATTACTTTTAATGAGTGTGGGAAATGTTAAGTTTATTGACTCTCTTAACTATTTTCCAATGCCTTTGTCAAAATTACCTAAAGCTTTTGGGCTCAAAGATGTAAAAAAGGGTTATTTTCCCCATTTATTTAATAAAAAAGAAAACTGGAATTATATAGGTCCTTTACCAGCTCTGGAATATTATGATCCTGATAATTTAAAGTACACTCCCACCCTCGATGAAAATACTGATAGTAGACAACAGCTTGTGGATTGGCATAAAGAAAATAAAAATTACGTCTTTGATTTCCAAAAGGAAATCATAGCATACTGTATATCTGACGTAGATATTTTAAGCCGTGCATGTTTAAAATTCAGAGAAATGATTATTAAAGAGGGACGAGTAGACCCTTTTACTGAAGCTATTACACTTCCAGGGGCGTGTAATAAAATATTCCGTAGGAATTTTCTAAAACCCAATATGATCGGACTTGTGCCTAAAAATGGCTATAGATACCGAGACAAACAGTCTAAAATTGCCGTACAATGGTTAATTTGGGAAGGTCATCAAAGAGGTATTAACATTATTCATGCAGCAAATGGAACAGAAGCTGTGCTAGCTGGAGTGAAAGTAGATGGTTTTTGTAAAGAAACTAATCAGATTTTTGAATTTCATGGATGTTATTTTCATGGCTGTATTAAGTGTATAAAATACAAACGGGATGAACCGTTGCATGAAGACCCAACCTCTACCATAGAGGCGCGGTATGAGTCAACTTTAATGAAAACTCAAAGATTACTCTCTTTAGGCTACGAAGTAATAGAAAAATGGGAATGTGATTTTACAATAACTGAAGAAATTCTTACATTTACTGAAAATCACCCTCTTATTTCTTTTTTACCTTTAGAACCTCGTGACGCATTCTATGGTGGTAGAACTGACGCAACGAAATTGTATCACAAATGTGCAAAAGAAGAGAAAATAAAATACGTAGATGTATGTTCTCTTTATCCTTGGGTGAACAAGTATGGAAAATATCCTATTGGACATCCACAGGTATTTGTTGGAGACAAGTGCAAAACACTAGATTTATACAAAACTGACGGATTAATTAAATGTAAAATTTTACCACCGCAGAACCTTTATCACGCAGTATTACCTATTAAATCAAACAATAAACTTATGTTTTCACTTTGTCGGACATGTTGTGAAAATATGTCAAATGAATGTGTTCATAATCACGAAGAAAGGGTTATCTCAGGTACTTGGGTGATAGATGAAGTTTTAAAAGCTTTAGAAAAAGGCTATAAAATGATTGAAATATACGAAATTTGGAAGTATGAAACTGTCCAGTACGATCCTAATACTAAAACAGGTGGTCTATTTTCAGAATATATTTCCAATTTTTTAAAAATTAAACAACAGGCCTCGGGGTGGCCTGTGGATTGTAAGTCTATTGTGGAGAAAGAAAAATATATCACAGAGTATTTTGACAAGGAAGGAGTTTCTTTATGTGCTGATGAAATTGAATATAACCCAGGTCGTAGACAGATAGGAAAAAGTGTCATCACAAGTTTCTGGGGAAAATTAGGACAAAAAGACAATCAAGATAAAACCTCAATAGTCTCAGATACTGCTGAATTTTTCGATATTTTATCGAAACCGTTTATTGAAGTAAATAGTGTCTTTCCAGTAAATGAAAAAACTTTATTAGTTAATTGGGTGTTTAAAAATGAGGCATATGATGTTCTCCCCACAGTCAATGTTGTTTTGGCAGCATATACAACGGCTTTAGCGAGGTTGAAGTTGTATAGTTTCTTGGAAAAGTTAGATAAAAAAGTTCTTTACCACGATACAGATTCCGTCATATATGTTTCTCGACCTGGAGAATATGAAGTACCTTTAGGTAGTTTTCTGGGTGAAATGACCGACGAATTGGCTGAATATGGAGAGGGTAGCTATATTACAGACTTTGTCTCTGGTGGCCCAAAATTATACGCGTACCGTGTCTATTCTACAGCAAAAAATAAAACGCTGGACCTAATAAAAGTAAAAGGAATCACCTTAAATTATAATACGAGCGAACTAGTAAACTTTGAAAAACTAAGAGACATGGTACTTAATGAAGCCCCTAACGAATATATTTCAACTAAAAATATCTTAAGAAATACTGATCATACTGTTGTTACCAAAGAAGTAACAAAGGTCTTTCGTACTAATTTTACCAAACGAAAACGTATTGATAATTACGATTCTGTACCTTACGGTTATAAAAAACAAAAATTTGAATCATTTGCTAAATAATTAAAAACTAAATCTTTTTAAAGTCATTTTCTTCCTTCGATTCCTATCCTTAAGGTCAAAAAGTAAGTAGTTATGTAAACTATAGAGAGATTTTAAAGAGGCAATAGTTGAAAAAACAATAAAAAATACAAATATAAAAACAAAAAAACAAAAAAATATCAAAAGACCCATATAAAAAGGACCCATGTTTAACTTAACTGAAAAAAGGCAAATATAAAAAATATTAATAAAAACAATATAAAAGAGGCAAAACAATACAAAAAAGATCCATATATACGAAAATTACGATTTAAAAATATCAAAAGACCCATTGACAAAAACAGACTCATGTTTAACTTAACTTAAAAGAGGCAAATATAAACATATTAATAAAAACAATATAAAAGAGGCAAAACAATACAAAAAAGACCCATATACGAAAATTACGATTTAAAAAACAATAATATCAAAAGACCCATATACAAAAAAGACCCATATTCAAAAAAAAACCCATATGTAACAACCTAAAAGAGGCAAATATAAAAATATTAATAAAAAACAATATAAAAGAGGCAAAATAACAATATTAAAATGTAAGAGACAATTTATCGTGACAGAACGTAAAGTTATTGTTGTCAAATAAAACCTATAGAAATATTTTTTTAGTTTACAAAACTATGTTATTATGACTGTCCCTATCTTTCCTGGCCAAAGTAAAAATGTATAAACTTGTTATTAAATAATAAAATCGTTATAAAAACAATATCGAAATAGGTATGTGGAAGATTAAAATAAAACCTTTAAAATTTGTGATTATGGTGATAGCAGTATCTGACCTTGCAATAAATTTATACGGTAATAATCCTATATTTTTATTATTAGTTCCAAGTTTAAGATCATACGATTTATTAGCTCTTATCAAATAACAACAACTACGATAATTACATATTAGGCCATATTTTATCAAATTAAGTGTCGTTTGATTTTGTTTAAATAAAACAATAAAAAGTTTAAATAATCTAAGATTTTAAGTTTAGACATTATTAGCGCATATGCCAAAAGTCCCTGTATTTTACCAAAAAACCCCATCCTTTTTTTACCCCATCCCATCCTGACAAGCTATTGTTACAACCTTCCCGTTGGTGCTTGTTGTTAAAAGTATTTTTGTTTTTATTAAACAATTTTACTTAACCAATAGTAACAAAGCCTCAAATATTTTTTAGTCATTTTCTTTTCAAATAATTTTACTTAACCAATGGCAACAAATATTTTTTAACCTAAATAGCTTTTATTATTCTTAAGCAGAAATTAATTTTAGATTTAGTTCTATGATATGCCAATTTAATCCAATTTTTAAAAACAGTAATACTGGTATAAACTTTAATGATTATATATTTTCATTTTAAATTATGAATACTATACATATTTTTATATGGTCGATTATTCATATACTAGAAACTGCAGAAAGACAACATTCCCTCAACTTTTTAAAGAAAGAATTTCGTATTTATTAATTTAAATTAGATTGATGATTTCTGAATTGTGTCCTATTCTTAGAAAAAATTATTTCGGTGACCTAGTAATTTAAAGCCGATTAGGTTATCGATATATTTTGATGTTAAAATAACTTCCTTTAAACAACTGTTTTTTTGCACTAACCTTCGAAATTATTAATAAAATTTTGGACCATTATCGATTTTTATTTCACTGCTTCAGTGTTTGACCTTCAATTTTAAGAAAATAATCTAATTATAGTTCATTCTTTGTTTGAATACCATATTGTACAGATATGTAGGTGTTGGTGTTATTACTTTAAAAAAAATGTGTAATGTTTCATCAGAAATGATAGTTAACGCTATTTTTTTCTTTGGATATGTATGATGAGTTTTAAAAATGATAGTTTATTTATGGTTGAAGGTAAGTACTTTTTGTAAAATGTGATAGTCATGTATCGTCTGCTAGTAATTTATTTTCAGTTAAAACAATCATCTGTCTTTAAAAACCACATAAGCTAGATTTTTCTGATTTATAAATATCCATTGTTAAGTACTCCTCCTTCTAAGATGGTATTGAGTAATAATGAGGTGTAATTCAAATGGATAATCCTGTTATTGAAATGTTTCGAAAAATCGTAAAATTTAGATATGTATTAATATTTTTTAAAAGTGGGTGTTGGGACAATATAATTTTTTGAAATTAAAAAACTTATGTCTCTACCTACTAGTGTTGATGTATACGGCCTTGATTGTATATAATAAAGATTAGATAAATTAGTTAAAACAATATAGATATGTAGCTTACAGGGGTCGTGGTTGGGTCTTAAACGTTCTAATAATAAATCTACTAAGGTGGTCAATAAATTCTCAAACATTTAAAATGGATATTCTCGGTAGTGTTCAACCACTAATACCCATATATATTTTTTGTATGGAGATACAATCACCAATTCCAAACGTGAAATTAAATTACATACTAATATTTAGTTCTGACATAGTTGTTCTTTAAAAATAGAAACCCTTATCTATTGATTAGATCTTAATCTTAGTGTGTGCGAATCATTTTTTTTATATGTAAATATATCAACATTATTAAATTTTAAAACGAAAAAATATATTCACCATTCAACATGAAAAATTTGTCGAAAAGCCAGGCCGAAGGGCCAGGTATTCTGGAGTAGATCACCGAATATTTTTAATATTTTAACTCCTAGACATCTAATAGACATGTTAATTCGATTATAAAAGAAATAAATCTTTAATATCTGATACATTTGGAACGCTTACCGAAGTAGCTTTTCAATTCTATTTTATTTTGAAACTTATCGGTATCTGTATTACCGGTAATAATAATTATCTGAGTTGTAAACGTCTTAAAATATTTTAATACTCAGCCTTAAACTTTAACGCCTCTAACCTAAAACCCTCCAAACTCTAGACTTATTTAAAATTAAAATATCCCATATCCCAACCTATTAATTGTTGAAATTATAACAATTTAATTTTAAAGGCACCCCTTTGTTGTTTAGACTACAACATATAAACCTACTCCCCACCTCCCCATATTATTTTCAACAACCCCCAAGAATTTCTACGAACCCTAAAGTCTTCTTCTCTCAGTAGGTTACAATATCAGAACAAGGCTCGAGCAAGAGAACGACGGCCGCCATCTTGAATTCTTACACCTAACATTTATTAATAATTATACAAACTTAATCCCTCTTATCTTACACCTATTACGCTCAATGTCTAGGCCAAATGGAGCAGGCCGCGGCGCATGAGTTCATTCCGTGTATTGTGGGTTGCGATGCCTTGGAATGTTAGACCGTGTATTGCGGGTTGCGGTGTATCCAGTCGGCCTCAAGCGCCCCTACCTCTACTACCGTCCATATTTTATCCCAGTGGGTTATTGTGTTGTGACGAAGTCACTAAATTTTATTTTTAATTAATTTTAAAAATGTATATTTCAATTAATTCCCACCTGAGGGCCTGTAGGAGATCCCCCGTATTTCTGTTTCCCAGGAATTTCCGGTTTTCAACAATTGCGAGTACCCTCGTAGGTTAAAATATTTCTGTATTTGCCGAAATCCGAATGGGCATTTTTAGAGTCGATTTCGTATGAATTATCTCTTTGTATTTGTCAAGGTACTAGTAGGACATTTTTTTTATTTTGAAAATGTAAACAGTCGGCTGTAGTGGTGGTATCTCCCACTCTGGCTTACCGGTCTTCAAGCTTGCCCAGAGAAAAAGCATACATTAGGTTACAACTGATTGTTCTTTTTGATTGCCGGCCGCCGTAAGCTCTTCTCTCTTCTCAACGAACTAGTGATGAATTCAGTTATATAGTGACCGTGATATTGTTAGACTACTGAATAACCCCGTTTATTTTTCTAAGGTAGGAAATTATTTTTTTTATTTACAATTAGTTTGGGACACCCGTCCGATAAGTGAAAGAATTTTGTTTCATGCCCAGCATTTTTCATTTCATCCCTTAGTGGGAAACCGTTGGCAATTTTTTATTTGAGGCTGGATATAGGCTAGACTGTGAGTGCTCTCAATTTCGACGACTATATCCAATCTCTTTTAAGAAGCGCCCAGTATTTTTCGTGTAAGTTTCTTTTTCTTTTATTTATTCATTTAATTATATTTGAATAATTTCGTTTCCCCGTCAACAACTAATTATTGAACGAAGCCCGACGTTTTCTATCATAATTAATTCACACACCGTTTTGATCGGCTTTGGCAAATCTTAAAATAATCTTTTCTATAACCATCGTCTTCGTTGTCCAAACATCACCGTAAATCATATCATTTTCGTTCGACTAAATTGCCAGCGTCGACCGGTCGGAACTAAAATACATGGGCGTTCCGAAAACTTTAATTTCATTTATTTTATTACCGTCATATTTAATTAATTTATTTTTAAAATTAATTTTTCGTATACAGGGAGTTTCATAATTCCTGGACCGATTAGCCTATCGAACCGCAATAATTTCCCTATATTTTTTTTTAGTTTTCAATGGTAATAATTTATTTGTAAAATTAATTTTTCCGAATAGAGGAGCCATAAATATTTAACTAGTTTCCAATTGTAATAATTTATTTTTAATAACTTTTCCGAATACAGGGAGCCATTAATATTTAACTAGTTTTCAATTGTAATTATTTGTTTTTTTTAATATTTTTAATAAATTTTCCGTATACAGGGAACCATAAATATTTAACTAGTTTTTTCAATTGTAATACTTTATTTTTAATTATTTTTCTGTAACCTCATTCAATTGTAATTATTCATTTTATTTAATTTTCCGTTTACAGCCGTGCCAAAACCGTGCACTACTACCGATGTATTTTTCTGTAAATATACATTTTATTATCTATTCCTGCGTTTCTCTTATTGCTGGTTCATAACCGTTCTCTTTCAGGGTACGAGGTGTAAAGGAGATAAGTGTTTTATTTTTATTTATTCTAGTTTAGTGGCTACCTAGTTAGCAGTGACCGCCTGGAAGTATTTTTTTTTAACTCCACTGAGTTTACCTTGAGTACACTCTGGTGTACTAAAGGGTCGCAGAGCAAACTGTGATACCAAAACTGGCGCCTGAGCAACCACTATTCGGGAATCACCATCTTAGCGCCACACAGACTCCCTGATTCACTGTAGGTGAACCAGATGCCTGTCACAGTGTCGACGATTATGAGTGGGGGTCTTCCAGGTTTTCCTCGTCTTTAAGTCAAATGATCAAATCAGTTATCGGTAAGAAGAAAAATAAGATTAAACCAATCCAATGAGGTACAATTTCATTCATATAGATAGATTAATTTTTAGTCAATACAATGCTTAAATTAATAACATTTGTTTTGCTATTTTAATCTTATTGTTTTTACCATTTAAGTACTTGACTTTTTTTAGAATATAATCAATCTTTAAAGAATCATTTATTTTTAAGTTAATAAAATGATGAATTCAATAACAATTTTATCTTCTTAATCGCCGTCGCAGAAAAAAGGGTTGCTTTCCATCAGTTGATGCAATGGACTGTAGTAATGTAGCTAGTAGAATAGCATGTTTGTAGATAAACTGCCAGATTTTTGTTAGCTTATGATGAAATTAAATGTGTTTTCCAATTAACAACTTTATTTACACTAACTTTCTTCAGCTTACAAACATTTTAATGGTAGACTGATACAAGTACTTACATTTATGATTTAAGAA